TTCTGTCTCTCCGTCTATGGGTTATGGCACATAATGAACTGCGCTGCTGGAATAGGAGGGAGGCTCTAAGATCATGACGACCATGCGGTGGTTTCAAGTACAAAATTGCCACAAACGCTCTCTTTCGACGCTGGGGCTAAGGGAATCCGTAAACTACTTGGGCATACTGAACAAAAACCTACGCTTTTAAGATACAAGATCATGTTAGATGGCTCTCTACAGTTTTAAGGACGCGATCAGACATAGTGGGAGACGTTTTCTCTAGACTCTTTCGAGTATCCACCTCTTCTAAGGGTACCGCCCGCAGTGATTACTTTAACTTAAGTGTCAAAAATTACAAGCAATCGCCATGAATAAGGACCTTCCATGCCTGAACCATAAGGGATATAACTTTCAAAAAAAAAATCAAAGCTTAAGTGCTTCGGCAAATTTGGATCGTTATTTTTGATTTTTATTTATTCGAACATACCATAACCGTTATTTTTGACTAAGTCTTTTAAATATATCATAAAGGACGCAGTCGTAAGAATGCAGTCTCCTTTACAACGATTATAAATGCTCACAAAAAATACAAATCCAAAATTACGATTATTTGGGATCGAAAAAATACAAATTTTACGATAACGATACAATTTGGCCGAAACAATGAAAACTTCAATTTAAACGATATAGATATATATCGACAAAAAAAAAGACATAGCGATTTGAATTATCTAAAAATAAAAATCCCGGTATTTACTGGTCATTTTGGACTCTTGCTTCAAACACCTTCGACAGTATTACAATCTTTAAGTTTCAAATCATTATCTGTTTAGCTAATTTTAGAAATTGCAATACTGAATAAATAATAAAATTTAAAATTTATGTAGGTGGCAACCTTATAATATTACGAAATAATAAAAAGGTACTTAAATAAGTGTAACATGAAACAACACTTTTCACTATCTACTTACTTCGCCACCAGCAGAATCACCGATTGCTGTTCCACATCCGTACGCGCTTCCTTCTCCAGCCAGCGCTTAAAATTCTCTTTTGTGGGCTTCTTAACTAGCGTCTTTATTAGGTCACCTCCCAGAAATTTCACTTCCTTGTCGTCCACTGACGCCTCACGTTCACTGCGTCTTTCGTTGCTACTACTACTACCTGCCGCATTGGTAGGTGGCTGCGCTTCCACTGGCGCCAAAACGACGACACTCACCACCTTCTTGCCACGTAATTCTTCATTGTCCGGCAGTGGGAACTGAGCACCATTAATTTTCAACGGCAGGTAGCGATTATACTGCCTCTCTGCCGCCAAGTCCACTGGTGGCACCACAGTCGCATCCGACTTAATATACTTTTCCGAAACGCGCTTCTCGTTGTCTGCATCAAAGTGTACCACTTTCACGTCCACACCCTGTTTATGTGGCAATGCATTTGATTCCTTAACGCGCTCGATATCCTTTTCGCTTAGCGCCACCTTGTCACCATTTGGCTTTACGACGGTAACGACTTTCTTGGATGCAGAGATTTGTGCTGCACCACCCGCACCATAGAAGTGCTGCAAGTGTTCGGCGGGCAGATTCTCCAACGCCACGTCGCCTACCTTATCATAGTCCAACACGGAAATATCTGCATTATTAAGTATGCCAGATGACAGTAGCTGTTGGCGCAAATCATCAGGCACTTCATCGGGCAGCTGTAGTAGTGTTTGTGAAGCTTTTGTGCTCTTCACCTCATTTAGCGTGGGTTGTGCGTTCTGCTCAGCGTTGCTACTGCTTGCCGTGGAAGAGGCTTGACCATAGCTGCTGCTGCTAGTGGATTGGGTAGTTGGCAGATAGGGTTTATCATTACCAGATGCCACTTGTGCTCCAAAGCTGAACTGGCTTACTGGAGTTTTATCCTCGCTGCGGCGCTGTTCGAGTTGTTTAAAGACATCCGAGTGTAAGGTAGAGACGCTAAATTGTGGTGAACTACCCGCAGCAGTATTGGGTAGAGATGAGGCAATAAGACTACCAGCGGTCTGCCTCGGTTGTTGTGCGTAGTTCGTGGGCTGACTGGCTAGCACATGTGTGGCACCGGTTTGTTGAGGAAACTGGCTAGAGTGGTACTGATTATACGCATTCGGTGGCATGGGTGTGACAATCATGACCTTCTCTCCATCCGTAGTTTGAGCGTACTGAGGTGGAGCTAGCGTCGTGGTGCTGTAGCCATTTCGGGGACTGTTATGTGCGGTCACAAAGTTGCTAAAATGTTGTTGCTCTTGCGGTGCTTGTGCCTGACTTTGTGAAGTATGCTGAGCTGCAGTGCTGATGTAGTGACCGCTTGATGAAACTGCCGAAGAGCCAGCATTGCCGCTTGTATATTGATTGTGTTGCTGTTGTTGGCTTGAATAGGATTGTTGTGCGTGATTTGGCGCAGGTGTGGGTCCCAACTGCGGCGCCGGTATGTCGTGCAATACCTGATTCTGTGAGTGGAAGCCAAAACTTCCAAAGCCATTGTATTGTCCGCCGCCAATTGGTGTCTCGATAGTTTCCGTGATATGTTGCTCGTATTTCGGTATGGATTTAAGAAGCTCAGTCTCCTTTGAAGGATCTGCGCCAAAGTAGTTGTGCAGCGACTTAATAGGATCGGATGAATGCAGTGAAGCGGCGGTGGGGCCATTGGCAACAGATGAGCTAATTTGTTGACTTTGGAAGGCTTGCTTTTGACTTTGTTGGGTCTTTTGCTGAGTTTGATAAGATTGTTGGTGCGACTGTTGTTGCAATGGCTGTTGCGATTGCTGTTGCGACTGATGTGCCTGTGGCTGCTGTGGCTGGTAACGACTGGAGGCTAGTTTCTGGCTCAGCAGCTGCGTGTGTGAGTGTGATTGTTGTGACTGCTTAAAATAGTTGCTGCTACCACTGCTACCGCTGCTGCTGCTGGCGCTGTTCGCATTCGGTTGCGTTGGCTGTGGTGAGGGCAGTGAGAAGGTCGGCTGATGCACGTATTGCGGTTGGCGGTTGAATTGATAGGGTTGTTGTGGGTGATAGTTCTGTTGCTGTTTCAGCGGTTGGGCGTGCTGATGTTGTTGTGGTTGCTGCTGTTGCGGCTGCTGTTGTTGATAGTGTTGCTGGTGCGTTTGCGCAGTTTGATAGTTAGTATTCTCCAGCTTTGCGGGTATCGGCACTGGTTTAATGTGGGGTTGCGCCGGTAGCAAAGTAGGACGGAATTTCACCGGCTGATATGGCAAACCTGATTGGCGCGCGGGCAACTCCTGACTCTTAGGCGGCGCGGTGGGGAAGAAGACCGACTGCTTAGCGGGTGCGGGAGTAGGTTTTTGAAATAAACTGCTGAAGAATGATTGCTGCTGGTTGCTGGGCTGCTGCTGGTATTGTTGATTTTGGTTAAAGAAGAAGTGAGATTGCGGTGCGCTGGAAGCCGCAAAGGTCTTGCGGAATTGTGTTTGTGCTTGTGGCAGCTGTTGCAAGGTGGGTACTGGTGATGGAGACGGTGGTGTTGGCGGTGCTGGTGGAGGTGCAACTGCGCTGTTGAAAGCTGAATTGAAGGCGGGTCGTTGCTGTTGTGTCTGCTGCTGTTGTTGGTGTTGTGGCTGGTACTGAGTATATTGCTGCTTTTGATAGAAGCTCGGTTGGGGCTGTTGCACCAGAGCCGCTGGCGGACGGAAGTAATTACCGGTATGCTGCAGTGGCAATTGTTGCTTCTGAATATGTGCCTGCTGATGTGGTTGCTGTTGCTGTGGCTGCTGCTGGTGCTGATAGTGTTTCTGCTGGAAAGATTCGGTGAATAACTGACTAGCGCCAGCTTGTGCGTGTCCTTGTGGGCTCGCACCAAAATCCGCTCGAGTGTTGTAAGAATCCGCTTTGTAGCTTCCTGCTTGCCCACTTCCGCCAACCGGTATGGCCACTACTTGGTTTTGTATGCTTTCAGCGTCATGTTCTTCGATTTGGTGTCCCGCCTGCGATTTATCCTCGGAGCCGAAGGTCACATGTATGCCACTGTTGCTGTGATATTTCTCCGAATCAGGGTGGATTATGGTGCGTAGAGTGGTGGTCTTGACTGGTGGCGCTGGAGTTGCCGGCAGTGGGTAGTGTACGATTTCCTCTTCCTCTTCATCCTCATTATCGTCGTTGTTAAGTGAGGCGATGGGGCTTTCCAAATGCAGTTTGTTGTTCTGGTCCTTCTTGTAGTTTACATAGAATACATGCACCTTCTCCTTCTTCTTCTTTGTCACTAAGGGTTGAGGTTCTGGTTCGGGTAGCGTCTCATTTGAGTCTTTAATGATAATCTCAATAATAGGCTCGGGCGCTTCCAAGTATTGGGGATAGTATTGGGGACCAATGAAGTTGGTTGGAAATTGTGCTAGAAGGTGATTGACAAAGCAAGGAGTAAAAAAAAGAAATACAATTTGATGGTTAAATTTTTTTTTTTTATGTACATTTATGTTCCCCGTTTTCCTACTTACCAATGGCGTCTTGTCCATTATAATACCCACTTTGCGGATAATACGATTGCCCATCATTCTCGTAGCCCGCACGCCGACTTGCAATTTCCGGATAGAGATAGCCGGCGTTTTCGAAATCGTAAAGCGTACGTTTGCCTCGCTTATCGCTGGCATCCGCTGTACCGCCTGCTGATGACTTCAGCGTTTTACGTGTTGTGCTAGCTGTAGTTGCTGTCTTTGCAGTCGGTTTTGTAGCTGTTTTGCCATTTTCGCTTCCGGTAGATTTTAACGCGGTCGCAGGCTTCACCGTTGTTGCCTTTTTACTTGATTTTGAATCAGTTCCTGCTGTGGCTAGGGTTATTGAAATCCCAATCAACTGAAATAAACGAAGGAGCAAAATTTTAATGCTGTGACACTTTGATATTTTGTGGAACAGTTATAAAAGCTAGGCTTCAGCGAGCTCAATAAATAGGTATTAAATGCGCTAAGAATTTGGTAATATATAAATTGTTATCTAGAAAGTTTTTATGGTCAGAGAATAAACATCTTTTCCACATGCACGTGGAAAAATTTCCTTTATGAAATTTTTGACATGCACTTCTCAAGTGCCCTAAATTAAAAATTGCTTAAGTAAGATGGCAATTTGCCCCATCGGTAAAAAAAACTACTTGGTGTATCTACAGCTTTTTTGGAGCTATGGTTCTCATGCAATTCATACAGATGGCGATACAAAGAATTGCAAATTTTAGCTTTTTTGTCCACGGGCTTGAAGATATTTTGTTCAGTTATGCTGACATGTCCTTGAGCTAGCCTTTTATTTAACTTTAATATTTCAATCGCAAAAATCCTTCACTGAGCAATAAATTTCAATCCTCTTCCTCATTACAACTAAATTCAAGCGCAATAATTATTGACATCCTCTTTGTGAGTTTAAAAAAAAACTGCGCTCTTCAACTAAATTTATCTTAAATAAAACTCAGTTTTTCGGCTCAATATTTACCTCACTCACATATTACTCATGATAAAAAAAAGCGTTCTCCCTGCTTTGCTCATCTAGCTTTCATGGCTGAGTAGTTTTAATCTTTGTTTAACTCAGTAAAACAGCAGAAAGCGTTCATTGAGCAATCATTGTTTTATCATTTGGTACAGGGATTTTTTTTCTAAACGTTGATGATAAATATTTTTCGTATCACTTTAACAGCCGGTTTCACAAGCAAATTTAAATGGAGAATTATTTTTAATTTTCTGTCTATTTCAATATAAAATTCAAAAAACTAAAATCGTTTTGCACTTAAATTGCTTTCTTGAATTTGGCTGTAAAACTTCGGAGTGATGAAAATACACGTAATGCTATCAATACGAATAAACTCTTTTACAAATACTCCTCATGCAAATTCATTAGTGAGCCTAACATGTGAGGAGTTTATAGTGAAGAGAACATAAATAACGCTAGCGCTCTTGGAGTGCTCTTAAAAAATTAAACTTCTCAAAGCGAAAGCATATTTTTGTTCGTAAGAACTCTCTTTTAAGAAGGTCAACGACAGTCTTCACATTTTTTGACGAGTTTTTTGGAATATGGTAGAAATTAAGTGGCAAGACGAAGAAAGTTTCGGTTGCGCTCCAATCTTGCA